CGCTGGACATGGCCACAGGGTATTGGCAGGTTGAACTGGCGGCTGAAGATCGAGAGAAGACGGCATTTTCGACTGGAAAAGGCCTTCATCAGTTCAGAGTCATGGCAATGGGTCTCAAGAACGCCAGCGGCACTTTCCAGAAGATGATGGAACTGATTCTCGCAGGCCTTGACACCAAAAGCTGTTTGGTGTACTTGGATGACGTCATCTTGTTCAACAGGACCGAGGAAGAACATCTGGCTACCCTGCAGGAGGTACTCCTGAGGATTCAGCAAGCCGGGCTGAAGCTAAAGGCACAGAAATGTCGATTCGCACGCAAGGAGGTGACTTTCCTTGGACATCTCGTCTCCGAGGAAGGGATACGTCCAGATCCGCATAACGTGGACAAGGTCCTGGCCTGGCCGCAGCCGTCATCTGAGGAGGAGATGAAAAGCTTCTTAGGCCTGTGCGGGTACTACGCGCGGTTTATTCAGGGGTATGCCGCGATTACAAAGCCACTTAGGGACGCCGCAGTAGAGGAGGGACGAATCAGGTGGTCCGAACCGATGCGCATTGCATTCGAGCTGTTGAAGTCCACTCTGTCCTCGCCTCCCGTACTGGCTTTGCCAACAGGTGAAGGGACGTTCGTCCTGTATACAGACGCATGCAACTCTGCCGTGGGTGTGGTGCTGGCTGAACGCATTGGAGATGAGGAAAAGGTGATCGCCTATGAGAGTAAGGCACTCACAAAGCAGCAGACGAGATGGCCGACTTACGATAAGGAACTCTGGGCGATCGTTCATGGCATCAGACATTTCCGTCAGTACACTGTTGGTGCCAGATTTGAAGTGGTGACCGACCACAAGCCGCTGGCAAACATACCGACATCGATCGCAGCAGAGCGAGACGGCACAGGACGTCGTGGTCGATGGGCGATCGAGCTGAGTTCTTTCGACTTCAATGTTCGGATCCGCAGCGGTCTGGCCCACGGGAACGCTGATGCGCTGTCTCGCAGACCACCAGATATGGCGTCTGCGGTCCGATCTGGTCAAGCCCAAGGCCAGGGGTGGTGTCCCGGTCGCTCTGTCTCAGAGAGAGGAGATAGAACGGAGACGGTGGGGTCAGTAGCGGGCGGCTCGCCCGCGCCGACGGAAGGCGGTTCGCCTGAGTCGGTTGTGACTCTTGTAGCTCCAACTGCTGTATTCTCAAGGCTTACGCAGGAACCGGCTGCTGTATCAGTCGCTGTGTCACAATCAGTCCAAGAACGGACCCTCCCTCCAATCGCCCAGGCGCAAGCCAGTGACGCGACGCTGTCGGCTCTCCGAAGAGCACACGAGAGGAAGGAGAAGCCAAGGCCTGCAGCGTTCGCTGGGTGGGGAGTGCTGCGAAAACACTGGAGCAAGGTGCGCGTCATGAATGGAGTAATCGGCATTGCCTCGGGTCGACAGTTCCAGGCGGCGGTGCCTCAAACTGAACGGGCCGAGATCATCCGGCTGGCGCATGATGATCCATCGAGCGGGCACATGGGTCGCAGACGGACCATCGCCCGGGTGAAGGCTCGATTCGTCTGGCCGGGGATGAATGAGGACATCCGGAGCTTCTGTGCCTCGTGCACGCCGTGTCAGCGGCGGTACAGACCGGCACCCAAAAGACGAGCACCGATGGTTACCGAGGTTACCTCACGACCCTTCCAGAGAATAGCCATGGACATCACGGAGATGCCTGTGTCGAGAAGAGGCAACCGATATGTGCTCGTGATCATGGATTACTTCTCAAAGTTCGTACGAATCTTCCCGATGCCGAATCAGAAGACAGAAACGGTGATGGAGGCACTCCTTCACTGGGTTCAGGAGCTTGGTGTTCCCGAGAGGCTTCACACAGATCAGGGCGCTCAATTCGAATCTCTGATGATGCGTGAGCTGTATCAGAGGCTCGGCATCCACAAGACTAGAACAACGCCTTATCATCCTGAGAGCGACGGGATGGTGGAGCGCTTCATGAGGACCCTGAAAGACATGGTGTCGAAATACATCGACAGCCAGGGCCTTGACTGGGACGAAAGTACCAGATCATACGCCATGGCCTACAATTCTTCCCTCCACGAAACCACCGGTCACACACCTTTCTACATGATCCATGGCTTTGAGCCTCGGTTGCCTCTGGATGTAATGTACGGAACCGATGAAGTCGCAATACCAGCTGAAACCTTCCTGAACAAACGGCTGAAGAACATGAAGCGGGTCTTCGCACAGGTGAGGAGAGCCTCCTCCCAATCAGCTGCTCGAATGGCGGTTCGCCATGACAGCAAACTCAATTTTACCGCGTACCCAACGGGCTTGAAGGTGTGGGTACGAGACCACACTGCCGCTGTGGGAGGAAAACCGAAGCTGGGTCTGCCGTTTAAAGGACCGGTGACCATCGTCGAGAGAAGAGGCACACCGGGGGAGGAAGTTACCTACCGGATACAGGACGTCCGCGGCAAGACACGCGTCGTGCACCACAACGACCTCAAGGAGTTCATCCCTCGTCGGACCGACTTGCAGCCAGTTCAGGATCCGAGTGGTCCAAATGGACGTGGTGAGGCCGTGGGGGTGGATCCCGTGAGCGACTGTGGTAACGAGCATGGCGTTCTGCTCGAGGTGCCGCTAATGCACTTACTCGGGAGAGCTGGCCCATCTGGTGATGTGGGCGTCGCTCAGAGGGGAATGTTGCCGCCAATGTCATACGTGACCAGATCAGGCCGAGTATCGCGACCACCTGAAAGGTTCCAGGCGGGACTATGAGTGTGGTGGAGGTGGTGAAGGCTGTGATTGTGTATATAGTTGTAATGTAAATAGCGTGTCGTAAGTGTCGCATTGTTCAATGTATGATTGTTTCCGTGAGGGGGGAGGGGTGTTACGGGCGGCTGTGACCGCCCGTTGTGGCATGCCTGGCGCCGCCCGTGGCGCCTCCCCGGCTGGCCGCGCCCGGCGCCGCCCCTGCCGCGTGGCCCTCGGGCGGGGTCGAGGGCTGGCGCTGGCTGGGCGGTCGGCGGCCCGGGAGAGGCAGGGAGACCGTGGTTACGAGTGGTTGGCTCTGTGGTTCTTGTTTGGGCCTCTGCCGATAATACAGTAAAGCATCGAGTCTGAGTGTGTTCAGCTCCCGCAACACTCATGCATTGCCCGCAAAACACTGTGTCAACCATTGTGTCAATTTCACAGCACTGTGTCATCTCGCCTTCAGGTGATGGCGCCATGTCTACCGCAAGACAAACAAGAGCTGGGGCATCCAAGCCTCTAGTTGGCCAGCCGAGTGAGGCCGTTGCTGACCAGTGGGCCGTTGCCTTCCTGGCTGATGATGATACCAGCGGGCTGCTGGCCTTCACCGGAAGGCCGCGACTGCCGACCAGGGGGCAGGTCCTCAGCCTCTACCTCTACATCAGGCAGGTCAAGGGACAATGGTTTCCAGTCAGCGAGATCGCTGACATCGTCCTGACCGAAGTATGCAAATACTGGACAATGGGGAACATCCCGATCGGGGCCAAGAACAAAACGAAGGAGAAGACGTTGGCCCTGATCGACGAGTACCGTAACCTGGGCACTGGTACCGTAACCTGGGCACTGCACTGGTACTGGTAACCTGGGCACTGCCCAGGTTACGGTACTCGTCGATCAGGGCCAACGTCTTCTCCTTCGTTTTGTTCTTGGCCCCGATCGGGATGTTCCCCATTGTCCAGTATTTGCATACTTCGGTCAGGACGATGTCAGCGATCTCGCTGACTGGAAACCATTGTCCCTTGACCTGCCTCATGTGGAGGTAGAGGCTGAGGACCTGCCCCCTGGTCGGCAGTCGCGGCCACAGTGTATATAAATAGTCGCGGCCTTCCGGTGAAGGCCAGCAGCCCGCTGGTATCATCATCAGCCAGGAAGGCAACGGCCCACTGGTCAGCAACGGCCTCACTCGGCTGGCCAACTAGAGGCTTGGATGCCCCAGCTCTTGTTTGTCTTGCGGTAGACATGGCGCCATCACCTGAAGGCGAGATGACACAGTGCTGTGAAATTGACACAATGGTTGACACAGTGTTTTGCGGGCAATGCATGAGGGCCATGTCTCATCCCCCCTCCCTCCAGGCATAAGTGCACAGCAGCTGCTGTTGTGAGGATTAAGAAATGTGAGAAGCGCCACTCGCCAACCTTGAGGGGTCATGACATGCATGTAATTACCCGCAATGGGGGGGGGGGGCGCCTGCACTCGCAACAGATCGCGGCTCAAATCATAGCCTTGCCTAGATATTTTCAACTCAGGTCAGGCGAGGTAGATGTTCTCGATGCATATGGCGCATTTGGACAAATAAAGACCAAAACGATTCCTGTTCTGGGGATCTTGATACGCGATATTTTAAGTGATTTATTGTAATCCACATGGTATTTAGTCATGATGTGATTTCATCATTTGACTCTTGGCATGCATGATAATATATTTTGTGATTTGTGCAGCTATTTTTCCTTGAAAACAAGATCACCGGCCCAATCAATTGCGCATTAAACTGTGGGACGTATGTTAAAAGCGAAAGTTCATGAAGTACTAAATTGGCTAAATTTGAGAAACTTTCAATCGATTTGAGGCAAGGTGAAAGTTCTTTAAAATTTCGATTGCCGCACCATTTTGGAAACGTATTGAAAGGACCTATGGGAAAACCCCGGTTCCCGTGGTTTCGGACAACTTAAATACATTTCGGACCCCCCTAATAATGCATATCTTGTCTCTGAGGCCTCCATTGCAGTACGCAGACATTTTGGAGACATTCAAAATCTACCTTTGATCTTTCAGCGATCCCTCTGTCTATGTGTCTACTGTCTCGTTTGCGTCTTTCGGCGAGGACCGACTATAGGACGACTCCCGCCGGGCCCCCACCTCCCCGGTGTAATTTCACGGAGCTCTTTATTCCGCCCCTTCATTTGGGCGTCGCGGCCACGCCACAGGTATATGGTCGCCCAATTTAAGCAACACAGCTAACTAAGACACTTCATCTCCCGTTACAGCGCCCGTCGAGCGCCCACCGGACCGCTCGGCTCACAAGATCGAGCCGCCACGTCAGAGAGGGGATTACCAATTGCGTCGATACTGCCTCGGGGACGAACCTGGCGCACCGCTGACGTGCCGCGGCGAATCCGACTGACGCCTGGGTGACGAGCGCGGCGCAGTGCAGTGACGTTTGTGGCGCCACTGGCGCGCCTCTATCGCCGGCTGGTGTTCTCCCGGGAGCGGACCTGGTGACGGTGTGTGGCGCCGAGAAGGCGCGGCCTGGTTCCAGATGAAGCCGACGGACGTCTAGGATGCTCGGCGCCCTGGCGTTTGTCCTGCTGCTGAGGTCGTCCGCTGACGGTAAGGAACATATAGGGATCGGCGTGGGTAATCAATCGTTGACAATTACAAACGAGGGGAGTAGCAACCAAGAATAAACTGAGCGTCCGTCGGATCAATGTCTTGCAAATTTGGTAGCAGTATATGACCACAAAGTTCCGTGACTTTTAAATCCAGCTAGCTATGGTATGGATAATTTTAGGATGCATTTTAGCTTTATGCATATTGCGAGAATGTTGTGGATTTGGTTAGAACATCACATAATAGTGACTGTGTAAACAAAGTCATTAGCAGAGCTCAGGCTAACCAGAGCTTGTTGCGCAGCTGTCCCGAGCCTGACCTTTTATCGGAAGGTTCCCGGTTGGTCACAGAATGGAAATACTTACGTTAAGCGCTGGTAACCAAAAACGCCTGTCCCATACCATAATGTATACGCACTCTCAAAGATCCCCAGACGCTGTGATATTGGGAACCGGTCATGCCCAACATGCTTCTGACTTGCCTTATCCGAAGAATAAAATAATTTAGATAAAGCAAATGGAACGGCTCCCTTAGAGGTCATCCAATAGAGAGCATGACCAATAAATTGAGCAGCATGTGACCGGCTTTGATAAATGTCCCTCAACAGATTTGGTGTCGGAGGGTATGATTGATCGCAGCTGTCCCTTTGAGAGAGGTGAAGTGTACTAAAGCGCCTGGTTGCTTTCCGATTGCACCATATGTACTGAGTGTGTTTACTGGCATCAATGTTTATCGTTTGTTAATGTTTACCGAATGTTTACCGAATGTCAATGATCATTGAAGAGGCATGTCAGGCTGATCAATTACAATCAAAACAGCTTTTAGCAAGTTAAACATTACCCTTTTTACTGGACGATACAAAATCACTTTAGTTTTTGCCATAAATTTAGATATACGTATAGTTAGTGGCGTGATCAACGTAAAAGTGAATTTCTGTAAATATCATTTTAATGCTTCATAGATTTTACGTTTTCTATTGCGTGTTTTTTTCCTTGCGAGGAAATGATGGACTGTTTATGAAGTTTTCGAGCTAAACATTTTTCAAACGGTGTCCGCATGCTCACAATTTCCAAAATTTATGAATATCCGAAATACATGTGGAGTAACTTACTACATATCTTTACAATCTTTATGACGTAAATCTTTATGGCGCACCCTGTATATCAGTTTTGCAAACTTTGAACCAGGCACCTCAAATTGTGACCCCAAACCGAATATTTTCCTCACAAAAATGCGGTCAAAGGATAGCATCAGACTCTTCTCTTGTCAACTTGATAACTTTGAGTCTAAGTAGTGGATTACGTTTTCTGAATATGTTTTTAGAGAAGTAATTCAGTTTTTCCTGTCGCTGCTTATGGTTGCTGATCGGCTCATCCCAATGCACTCGCCCGGCTATATGAACATTCAAACACAACACTTGCGTCCTTAACCAATTTCACTGAGGAAGTGCTGAAACACTTTTACTTTAAATCAATCCTGACTTTAAATTTTCATCGTTTTGCAACTTTGCAGTACTTACAACATTACGGGGTTTCAAGACTGATTTTACATTGCTAGTCCTCACACTCGTGCATAGAGTTACATATGTAGACCTTCATTTGTTCAGATAGCAGGGAGGGGGCCCTTTTATCCACATCCATGCATAGGCGTTACAACACAACCCTTTTCAGCGACAACGCAAGTTTTTCCTTTACCATACTAGGTGGTTTTAGAACACTAAAATACTATTTAAGGCGTCCAAAGATAATCTTTCTGTTTTCAGGAAAATCTAGAATAGGCAATAAGCGTCACTGATTTGTGACCGCGACCGTTCCAGCTGATCGCTTAAATTGTTCGCCACGCACGGTCGGTCCATTCATTCACCTACCAAATGACATCACGCCCTAATCCAATCTTGGAATCGACTCTGGGGGCACGAACCTCCGCAGTCGAGCATACGGCCCATTGATCACGACCCGGCTTCTGCTCCGACCTCGCCCTCGGCCTCAGGCTCGCCGTGTCCACTTTCCAGGCAGGGGCCAAAGTTTCAATAGAGCGACACTAATGTCTGGCGGGAAGCGATCATCGGCGCTGGTAGATGTAGTGACTATTTCCGTATCGGAAGGAGATAATCTGTCGAATTTATGAAGCTTGTACCCGACTCCGGCTGTCTTTATCTGAAAGTGCTTGCCTCCGCTCACCCATGCCTGTTCTTGTCTTCCGTCTCCATCCGTACCGGTCCTTATTTGGAATGCGTCCCCCCGTATACCTACATCCACCCAAATAATATTTCCGTCCGCTCGTTCCCGATCCCTGTCTCCATCCGTACTGACCTTATCTCTCCGTCTGTATACCCCAATACCGTCTCCGTCTACATACACTTGCACTGCTTTTGTCCCCCACTGTCCATTCCCAACCCTTATCTCGGTCCGCTCATTCCTCACACATGTCTCCGTCCGTGCCTGAACACACCGCACTGTCTCCGACGGCCCGTGCCCGACCAGTGCGCTCCGCTGCCGTCCGTCTCGTCTTTGTGGTAGTCGGCCTGCCGCCAGGGGCGATTTCGGCCGTCCGTCGTCACGGACATATTTCACGATGACGGATCGGTGCGGACCTCAGGACGGCCCGACCGCGCTCCACCGGACGCCTAATGAATTCTCGCCACGATCGACGCGACTGCGCCAGCTTCTGCCGCACGCCCCGACGGCCACAAATTCGGCGCGTCGGACCGGCGCCGCGCGTCAACCAGGCCAATGATGGACGGGAGTCGCTCACAAGACCGGGTCACGGAGCGCCGTCTGTCCCCTCCTCCACCCCTCCCCCCCCCACAATGGCACTTGGGGGTCACCGCCCAGGGGTATATCACGTGACCCGTTGCCAATCGGCGGGCAGTGACGGCCCCAGACGGCCGTAACGAGCGCAGAATGAACTGGCCGGGACGGTCAATCGCCGAGTGACGGCCGTCTATAGGAGGTGGACGGTCACGGCAGCTCCAGTAGTGATGGGCTGGACGGTCACTGCGGCTTCCATGGTGGGCTGGACGGCCCTGATGGGTCCAGGGTCGGAGTCATCAGGGGGTCATACCTAGCAGGGAGGGTCGATGAGGTCGGAGACAACGACCCGACCCACCAGCCGAAGTGTCCCCTGTCGGCGCGGCGGGGTGGCCACTGGCCAGGTCGCGAAGACACCGACCCAGCCCGGTGACTGCCCCTTGTCCGCCACTGTCACACTGACAGCGGTAACACAGAAACGCCTATCAGTATACGGCCCTGTGCTGATCCAGAGCTGCTTATGCAGCTGGCAGCCTGCTAGGCAAGAACCGGTGAACAGTGCAGCAATGTCTCTGTTTGGAGAAAACATGAGACATCGTTCCCCTGAATGACACCGCTGAATACATTTGAATACATGAATAACAAAACTGTGCGTTGTGTGATAAAGGGGTAGTTGCTCCATGCGCGATGGGTTATTGTAGGGTGTGCTATAGAGTATAGCGTCTCCACAGGATATGCTTTCAACGTGCCACGCGGATCTTCCTTTAACCCTATTAGTGGCAGGGGGGGTTGTTTTCATCCACCCCTCAGGGTTTTCGGGAATATCTCCGAAACCGCTGAAGCTTCGATGCTGAAATTTTCTGACTTTTCCTGAAACTAAATGGGGCACATTTCCTGAAAATTTCAAGTTCATAACTTTACCAGAGGCGGCTCCAGAGCACTGGGAATTGGGGAGTCCTATTCGTGAAGCGAGTCATTTGGGCGAAGATCACGATGCTGATGTATTATAACTGTATGCACCAGTTTTACGAACAGTGAATGAAAGGTATCATGTGATAACATATACAAAGTTATTTTGCATCCTCTTTTGACACGTTTTTGCTATAATAGGCGGATCCAGGCGTCCAAAAAGTGGGGGTTAGGTGTTTTACCTCCCAACATAGGTGCCCTGACACCGCCTATGCATGACCAATGCAATTGTAGTCGTTCTCTCATAAGTAAATAGTAACATAACAAGACCATTACCACCCTTTTTAGAAACAGTACCAACAAAAACCTTATTTACTATACTTTTTGTGTACCCCCAATCTCAATGATCTGTATCCACCTATGATTTTTGAGAATGCATATTTTTAGGATCCATGTGAATTCCTGGTTCATTCTCTATCGATCGGCAAAAGTTGCGTTAAGATTGGTTCAGAAACCTGGCCGTGATAAACAGTCTAAAATGTATCTGCAATTTGCCCGCTTTTACCCCACTCTACCCCCCTATTGACATTTTTTAATTTTTATTTTTTGGAAATGTAGATCACGTTGAGCGAAATCGAATGCCGTTTGAATTTTGAAAATCGGCCCGTTAGATCTCGAGATATCAGGGGGGTCGTAAACAGCCCCCCCCCCCCTGCCACTAATAGGGTAGCCAGGAGCCTGCCACTAATAGGGTTAAAGCCCGTAAAACATAATTATTTTGCAAATCTTCCTATATCGTCTCCCATGTCCCTCCCCATGCCGCACGATACATACTGTGATAATACAGAATGGTGGGGTGGCGCTCGACGCGTCACATCCCTCCGGTGGAATATATAGCACCCTGTGCTGCCACTGCATGAGGTGATATTTAATTGGCTAATGACTTTGTGCATATATTTGATCAAACTAAATGAAGAAAACCTGTCCCGCATTTCTCTCACTGAATTTTCATCACCGTTGCAGAATGCTTCTTTGCTCGAGAGCTGTCCGTCCGAATAACGTTTGATATTTATTATGCAATATGCATCTCTCTCCCTCTCCCAAATTATCCCTCTCCATCCCTCCCTCTCTACCTTTTAACTCTCCCTCTCCTCTCCCTCCCTTTCCCTCCCCCTCCCTCCCCTCTCTCTCCCTCCCTCTCCTTCCCTCTTCCTTCCTCTCCCTCCCCTCTCCTCTCCCCTCCGCCCACCAATGTGAGCCTCACCTCCGGGCCGTAGCCCGTTCGTTGCTGCCGTTTGGTACCGGTTGCGTCTCACCCCGCGCGGTAATATAGCCATCCAGCAGCTGTCCCATGGGCGTCCCATCAGCGCCCTGCCTGATGGACACCATTTGTTCGACCTATCTGTTGCCGGAATCATCCCAGATGAGGCCCGGCACCTCGGACGATCTCCGTCAGTGGCTTGGAGAGCGGCGGCCGCTGGAAATTCGCCGCTTCTACGGAAGTCGGCCTGGGAGATCGTGACGCCATTTTCCATCCCGGCACTCACTTAGTCTGGCTGAAAGGTGCTCCAGCTGAGGCAAGGCTGAAATTCTAAGCGAATGTCGAGAATCATGGTGTACTTTTCCGGGACCACGTCTAACACATATACCTACATGCAAATTATAGTAATCCTGTAAAGAAAACACTAACTCATTCCAATTTTATTTTATACAGCGTAGACACCAGACATGTTTCATTTCCACCTGCGGATCACAAGATCAGATAACTCACTATCTCTCTTACCAAGTGCTGCTCCAGAACACCACCGACCTCAGTTTTTCTGGTGGCTGCCTTCCGCTCAACTGGCCACCAACTTCGGATGTTTGTTGTTCTTTCTCTCCCCTGTCAACGCTCCACAATAAACGACGCTCCCGTCCGCCTCATCTTAGTTGAGGCGTGCCGGTGGTTAAACCAACAGACGCAAACACTCAACGACTAATGGAAGGGCGGAGAAGCATGTGGATAGATATTGCATCTAGTGCATTTATTATCGTGTCGTCCGGCTGACTGCCCTCTTTTCTGCAGTCTTTATATACCTTCAGGTCATACCTCTAGTTCGTCTGTCCGTCTGACCGTCTGTCCGTCTGTCTGTCTGTCCGTCTGTCCGTTTCTCCGTTTGTCCGTCTGTCCGTCTGTCCGTTTCTCCGTTTGTCCGTCTGTCCGTGTGTCCGTGTGTCCGTCTGTCCGTGTCCGTGTGTCCGTCTGTCCGTCTGTCCGTCTGTCAGTCTGTCAGTCTGTCCGTCTGTCCGTGTGTCCGTCTGTCCGTCTGTCCGTCTGTCCGTCTGTCAGTCTGTCAGTCTGTCCGTCTGTCCGTCTCTCCGTCTGTCCTCCCGCCCTGCCCTGTCCCGTTTCTGTGCCGTTGCCGACCGCCGTTGGTAGTCCTCGGTGACACCCGCCTGGCCGGCCCTAAGTCTCAGGATTTACGCACGCCTTAACGCCTCTGTTTGCTGCGCTTGGGAGCAGCTTCCACCGCCATCAGCGGCGAAAATATGAAGACGGACAGAGCGCCGCGCCAACCGGTCGAGTTTGTCTGTTTACCTCACCGGCGGGTGGGCCGCGGGGCACACTACTGGGGGCCAGTTCCGCACCCCGGGGACTCGGGCACGAGCTGACAGCTGGACAGATGTCCGTCAGATGGAGGAGTGCGCTGAGTGGCCGAACTCCCTGGGAAAGGAGCGAACGCCGACTGTCAGCAGAATGGACCGGTGTTTGAGATCGGCATCCCCTGAGGCTGTGTGTAAAATTGCGCCTGGAGTTCAGAGAGTTGCGTAACCGAAAACAGTCAATACTAAATCAATAACCGAGATAAAATACAAATGTCAGGACATTTTTTGAACCATCATTTTTTAGATTTCCAGGGTGTCTCAAAAGTTCGCTTACACATTCCCATGCCAATAAAGCATATAAGAACCGGCCAAAAGTATAAGGTTTTGGTGTCTGTGTGTACACTACACAAATATGCATGTTTTGACAACTGATTAAGAAGGTTGGAAACCAACCCCTTTGCTGTATCTCCAAAAATATTTGCCCATACCGATTTTTGTTGCTCCGTCAGCTGCCGGAGGCTGATAAAAGGTTACCAGCTTGCAAGCTCTTGCAAGGGAATCCCCTGCAGTTTCTGCGTCGGATTTAGTTTTCACTAGCTCCCCGGCAACATCTGATTTTCCCTGAAAGCCGACAGCTTGCATCGACACCATTCATGAGTATTTTGTAGGCATTCTCTGGCGCTAACTCCTTCATGAATGACTGCGCCGACATCCCAAGCGCCTTTTCAAAACGACCCCAGTCCTGAACAACGGGAAGTGCCAGGAGTAAATTTTTCGCATCATATGGTAGCAGAATGTGTCGGACGTCTGTTTCTCAGACACATTGTGCAAATTTTGCAAATTCCAAGCGCTCGTCATTCCCCATGCCAAGACCTTCGCTCGGTTGCGGAGTGTTTTCCTCGGAGATGTTCTGCTTTGTAAACGGCCCAAACCTGTCCATCGTGTGGTTTTATCGAGATTTTGTGTTTAAAAGAGAATTATTCGCTGCAGATCTGCCCTCTTGAAACTTCGTTAGATAAAATTTTTACAATAACTAACACTTTTGGAGGGTGAGGTGTCCTTGGCATTGACGATTTTTGTGTTATTGTCCCCAAAAATTAGCGTTATAGATATTATAAACAATTTTAAATTATAATTTGTCTTTATTTTACGATGACCTGCACTTTTTGAAAATGGGTAACCTCTGTGTGTGAGCTTCTTGCCAGTTTTCAATAGTTATGACCGCATTTTCAGCTGCTTTCCGGAACACGAGTCTGCTGTCGTGCGAGGGTCGTTCAAAACACCGTTAGTCTCGCATGATTTCGTCCTTCAAAAATTTTAGCCACCGTTTTTATGAGATGATCATCATGTTGCACTCATCCTCGCCGACACTTAGCCATGTGTCATTTCCGACTTAACCATTCCCATTACTCCTGAAACAGAGAGTTTCACAACATACCCGACTTTGCAACCTACATTTTCGTGCCTGATCCATGGTCAGAGGTGAACCCTTTTTGTGAGCTCATGAAGGGTCGAATGCACTTGAAAACAATGATTGCTTGAGGAAGGTTGTCACCAATGCCCATGCAAAATTTCGACTGTTAATTTCTTGTTGATTCAGAAGTATTGACAAAAAAGCATGGCTGGTACCTGTCAACGAACTTTTGAGACACCCTGTAAGTTCCAGTAGCCTTTGCTAAGTACATACGCCCCAAACTTTAATGACTTGAAACGTCCACAGATATTCACAGATTCGTTTTGAAGGTCACTTGGAGTGCGTTTTAGTCAGCAGCGCAGCAGCAGCAGCAGCAGCAGCAGCAGCAGCAGTAGAAGAAGCAGCACAAGATCATTATTATCAAAGACGGCGACTACACATAGTCTTGAGCCGCCCATCATTCAATGTGTTCGACGTTGGAAACAGCCCTGGACTCGTCAAACAGGCTAGCGGGTCATACACACATCTCATTTCCTAGCCGCATTTGGAGCACCCATACTTATCCGAAACATTGTTGACGACGTTTTGTGCTAACTTGTCCTGAGTGGCTCACGTTTGTCGCCTGAGGTTAGGTTTGGCGGTCGTCTCGTGAACAGCGGCAAGCTCATGTTTAAAACATTGACACATCTCACCACTCAACAGCCGGCCTCGTCAACAAAGTTGTTGAAATGCAAATGACAGAATTCGGAAGAGTTAAATACCAGCTGTCCCTATCAGAATATGTGGCGCGTGACGATGATTGCAGCTTTGATAGACCGCGTGAACAAATTATGGCCAGCCTTTGACACTTTTATGGAGTGTTAATGGTGTGTCGACACGTTCACTGAATCACTGCGACCCTGATCGACTTCCAGGAACCTACGGCGAAACGCTGAACATATGCAAAATCGTGTACACAGCTTTTAGCAAACGTAATGCTAGATTAAACGTGATTGGATCCCACCTTACTATGCTAAATGCAAACCTCTATGACGAGGATTAGAGCAGGTAAATCGAGATTTAAAAGCTGCAGCGACGACGCATCAAAGTTCTTCATGGTGCTACTAATTTCCCGCATTGTCCTCAAAGTTTATCTCAAAGTTGCGATGACCAGCGGGCACTCGTCTACTCAGCGGCGGGGCCGACCTCTCGGACCCCGACATTGTGGCGCTGATTGATCGCTGTCACATGTGACGGATGTCGGGGGCGTGACGGCCGTGACAGTCTGACAGGTCCGTCCACCCCCCTCCCGGCAGGCCTCGACTTCCAGCGCGTGCTTCGGCCGGTGGTCAGCACTCCCGGACCGGGACCCTACTACGACGAGTACTTCTCGGGCAACGTGACCGTGCTTCTCGGCACAGAGGCCACGCTCAACTGTCGCGTCAAACAGGCCAGCGGCATCACGGTGAGTACAGTGAGCTGCCGCGACTGTCGCAGTGAGTACCTATTGGTGGCAGTCTTGGTGAGCAATGCATGTAGCATCCGCCGAACCATCACGGTGACCACAAGCAACAGTAGCGACAGGTAAAGTGAGCAGTCGCTTCCGGCACGTAGAACAGTCGCTGTCATCACGGTTACGGCTAGCAATAGTCACTGCCCAGTGTAACGGCAAGCATGGACCACTGCGCCGTCACGATGAACAAGGTCCACCGCCGGCTCCGGCGTGACGTGACGACGCTCCATGTGACGTGCTCCGGAATGCAACAAAGCGCCGTGCCGAGCATTTCTGAGACTGGTGCCGCCGAGGCGCCGTTCGACGCTGCATGCCCTGTCACCTCACATCATGCCAGTTCGTGTCACAGGGCCTCTGATCACGGCCTAGTGTCGCCTGTTTGACATCGGGAATTCGGCAAGTCCGGAGGATTTACAATCCATTAAGCTGGGGAAGTTGTGTCGTTACGCCGGCTCTTACATATGCATTTGATGTTCTGATGAAGGTCGTTAATGAATTTATTTAATCATTTCACGATGAATAGGGTAGGATTTCCGTTCAAATTTGATATTTACATTTTGCGATTGCTAACAAGCAACCAGCGAATCATTCAGCACTCAGCAGGGACACGTTCAGAACTTTCAAACTGAACGGAATAGATTAGGAGAGTACAAAAGTCCAGTTAGAACCTCTGGGACCGCGGTTAATTTCGAGTTTCATTTTGGAAAACATGCCAGACTCCTCCACCTGCGGCTCTATCTCAACTGTGTGAGCACGGGCTGATCGATTATATAACCGAATTCACTTAGCAAAAATACCTTGGTGATTGTGCCGCGAAACTCGAAAGCTTCTCAACTAGCGCGATGTGCTGACTGCCTTCAGCGCGCGGAGGCATGGTAGACTGCACCGCCGTACACGCAAGCTATGCGGGTCAGTCTACCCTTCCAGGCCGCTCAGGCGCTTACGTCGCGGCCGGCCACTCGGCAAATTCAAAGTGCATAGTGAACAGCGCGATGCTAGCAGCGCCGCCGACTGGGCCGCGACCTCCCCGGCTCCATAGTCATCACATCAGTGTACAGGCCGTTGAGTGACGTTTCGTCACGCGAGAGCTCGCTTTGGCAGGCCTATGGCCGTCTTGTATAGAGGAAACTCACGACGTTCGGCGCGATACTGCCGTCGGGACGCCCACTTGCCGGCTCAGCCCGTAAAATGTCTGGCCGCTGCCTCAACACACAGCCTGGGGCTCGCGCTGTCGGACACTATCAGGCTGCTGATGGTGATAGCATGGGCGTTTTGGGTGATAGTCCTTCACTATTGCAGATTATATGCGCTGAATTGAAGTTGATTGACGCTGAAATAATTCATTCCGATCATATTTACATTATTTTATTCCGTCCATAAGATAGTTCGTCATTTTTAATTGCTTATAACATAGAAATTCTTGCTATCTAGCAATCATAGTCCGTGTCAAGGTGAGTTAGATAGCTGAAGCTGCATGGCAGCGAATTCCATGTTTGAAAAGCCTGAATCTTCTATTATACACCCGTCGTCGTTTGCTCACGGGACTGATGTGTGACTTTCATTTGGCTGAATGTTCTCTCGTGGATGGCGTATTTCACGTGGCAAAAGCAGCTCGTGTCGGAATGAATGGAAAGCGTAGCTTCGTTTTCAGAGAACGCCATCAGCAGACCGGCATCGTCTAATCTGATAGTCTGCTAGTGAAAGCGTGGAATTGAAGGTTATTCTGCATCACTTGGTAAATAGTTTGACACCTACAATCATCTAAACTGCTGATTTAAGGCCTCATATGTCAGCTACTGAATAGTAGTTATCACATGGTCAATCGATTCATTACCAAAGTGAGTTTCTCTCTTCTGACTTTTGAGAAACGATTGCAAGCGTGCTTGAACATAAAGAGCACAAGGGGTGTTGGGAGTAGATTTTAGCTTGACGAGAAATAAGACGACTTAGGTCATGCTAACAATGAGCCAAGCCTCATCGAATAAAAGGGACCGGTCGCTGCATCTGTTTTAAGAATTGTTACATATTACTGAAATCCCGGGCCCATTTTAGATATCCTGAGCGACTGAGATATCTTATAATAGAAATAGAAATAGGCCATGCATCAGCTGAGTTATTGATGTTTCACCTTGCGACTGCAGCGGTTCCAAAATCGCTGCCTCTGTCGCTGAGATACAATCTGGTTATGAAGCGTTAAGTCTCACTTTAAAACACAGACGATACGATCTTGGTTGGCGATGAGCTCGCTAAAATGATTTCAGAGGCATTTAAAACACGTAGGTACAAATATGCGGATCCGCACGATAAAATGATATGCGACCACTAATCAGCAAGACTATCTCTAAAGCAAAACTTCGATCGAGGGTTATTTGAAATCTCCTCTCAATTTCACGGCATTAACTCCTTAACGATTTGACCTACGTCGTATCACCCATAAGATCACAAACCCACAAGCCACACGTCACCCATAAGATCACGACACTTCAACAAGTCGGTGTCAGCCATCCGTTCAACCATGTTTTATGACGAATCATATATTCACCGATTAACAGATTACAATACTGGCAACATTCATATCCTAACTCACCGTATTTATTAAAATATTTTATTTCATTCACAATAAATATTTCATCTTTCTGTGTATCCGTATGCAAGTCTATTTGAGTAAGTACTGTGTATCTGTGTGCTTGTGTGCGTGCACGTGTGTGTGACTCTGAGTAGCTACCATTGCCGTCCGAATATCGGCCCCTCTGTCCGCCCACCCACAGTTGTGTGACTGCCGAGGACCACCGTGTTACCATTACCGCCGCAGTCAATGTGCGCGCTGGCGACAGCCGCCACTGTGAGTGTGACAGGTGCTGTCCAGCCCATTTACTGGGCGGGTCGTTTTTCCGTCACCGTATATACCCTGTGCGGCTCAGTGTCCACCGTGTGCTCGGCCGGACGGCCGGCCGGTCATTGATTGGGCGGCGTGAGCGTCGCCGGCGGCGCGACGGCCGCCGACGGCGCTCAGTGGCTTCGTTAGGCGTCGAGTCGCCCCGGGGGAGCGCGGGGCTGTCGGTAGGTCGGACAACTCGACTGGGTGGGGACGGCGGCACTGAGGAGAGCCGATGTCGTCTGGTGATCATCGCCCTCCCGAGGATCGGAGGTCGAGCGGCCGACCAAAGTTCACATCCCGCGGCCCCCGACCAATGGACAGAGTGCTGTCTGACCTTCCCGGCACGGGACGCGGTCAGGCGTAGATCACAGGGGAACTGACTCGGGTGACAGCTGTGTGACGTGTTGCCCCAACGGGGCGCGTTGCTCGGCAGAGCCCAACGGGGCGCGGGTTAACAGTAGCCTCTGTGACCGGCCCATGAATAGTGTCCTCTGAGACCGCCTAGTGCACAATAACCGGCCTGTATGAACACCACACCTCTGTGTCCGACAGGTGTCCTGGCTGCGCGTGGCTGACGTTCCCAAGCTGCTCTCTGTCGGCGCCTATCTGTACACTATGGACAATCGGGTACAGGTGGAGCACAAGAGTCAGTCCTCAGACTGGACGCTGACGCTGCGGAACACCACCCACAGCGACACGGGCGTGTACGACTGTCAAGTGGGCACCACGCCGCCGTTGGACCGCTACATCCACCTCACCGTCGTAGGTAAGTGCTGGTAAATCAGGCGGTAATTATAGCTACCGCTCGACTGCTACATTCACCTCACGGTCGTAGGTAAGTACCCCTGGCGCTAATTATATGTAGTTACCAGAGGCAGTAGTCGCCGGTTGATCACTAGCTTCCATTTGAAGACCACCTCATGGATGAGATAGCATGGATGAGATTATTATCTCATCCATGACCACCTTATTCGGTTTCCTCAAGACGTCAGTCGCCGGCTACCTCTAGATCGCTACCACCACGGGTCGATCCGCGGTGCCCTCAAGTAAATCGCTAGGCGCAGCACGTCGCTACACATCGTACGCAAAGCTCAGTTCACACGATATATTGACGGCTTCACGAATGGGCTAGAAGGGGCTTAAAGATCTGAACCACAGCACCACGGTGCTCAAAGCTGTGAAAGATTTAAGCCGTTGGGTATGTCAAGCTCAAATAAATATTTATATAAAAAACTTGAGACATGACGAGCAGCAGCTTCAGCTATGACTTAGTTGAATATTCAAACCATTGGGTAGGTATATTGATATAAAATAAACTTTAAGAAGATCTTTGTGAGACATGAGGGCATCATCTTCTGGTCCTTCCTGCTGTAGATGCAATGGCGTCAGTTACATGCGCTGCGCTTTGTCAAGATGATCTTCCTCCCCTGCTGTCCCCAAACAAATTCTAAACGGATAGGTATGTACTGAAATGGAGCGTTATATAACATTTAAAATGCACGATATTCCATTAAAATGTATGCATTTTCCAAGTGTCCGAGCTAGTGTACGAAGTGCGTCGTTACTCCCTAATCACTCTCACATTCTGTTTTTATGGAACCATCACTCACACATGTGTGCCAGTGTCTGATCGTCAGTGCATGTGGCCGACATTAGTGGCTCCGTGCAGGCGCCTGCCATTCGCCGACGAAAGACGCAGCCGCGCCGTCGGCAGGCGCCGCATTACGTGATTACACTCCGCCCTAAAGAGAATGTAAGGGCATCCAGACGGATGACCGAACATATTAGATGGATGGAAAGTCGGCAAGTGCTTCCTTATCACCATTCAGCCGACAGGCGCATGCATAACTTTAATATAAAATGTGCGTAAAATATGTCAAATTTTATATAATATCATATTCCTCACGTTTACAGGTGCTTAGATACTAATAACAATATACGTATATGTAATAGCGATGATGCTCAAAGGTTATTAGTGTAATAACTGTGAAATAAAAAGAGCCTTATTATGTATATCTACCTGATTTTGTCTCCGATCATACCACAGCACCAGTTCAAAATTAGGTACACGAGGAGCAAGTCATTGTAACGAACTCATAACCATCATACACACTCAAATCGATGTGCCCAAGTGAGAAGCTGGCTAACAAACAAGTGCTTGGTCCTTCGCGACCCTTTTGTGCCACTTCTGAAAAGTAACCAAGTGACACTAAAAGGCTGAGTTGTTTTAGTCTTAGCAATTATTTATATGCCATTCCTCAAAAGTTTGGACGAAACAGGACGATTTCGCTCAAACTTTCATGCAAAACACACGATTGGATGGCTTCGGCGAACGGACGTGTGGCGTGGTGAGGATGTGTTTGCTCAGTAATTCGACTCATGCATTGCTAGTCTTGGTGTTATTGTCTTAGGTGATGGCAGGACTTCTGCCTTGTGTTCCGTGGTGGATGCTTATTTTTCGTGAAGATGTGTATCGTATATTTTTTTATAATCGTATATTGTTCACAGAAGTGGCACCTCTAACAGTTACAGAACCTGAAGGGTTCGTTGACCTGGATTATGATAAGAAGGGCTACTCAGCGTGCAACAATAAAAGTCAAAAGTTTGTAGTCTGACCAAACACAAAACTCTACCTTTCGCTGCAAGTTACACTAGTCAGGGAATGAATTTTTTTGCTTAAAGGTAGTGTGCCACCTTTGAAAGATTTCCCATTTTATTTTTCCGAGGATAAGAAGCTTCTGTTTTTACCTATAGTTCGTTTTTCTTAAGTTTGCCCCTCACTGTAAACGTCTTTTTGAACACAGCACGAGAATTGCTAGCTGAATTGCTGAGAAAACTGGTTGGCGCACATTGTATTGGAGATATGAATAATATTTTCAAAATAAGTTTTGAACACCGACGATGTAACGTTAATGTTAAACGCCGTGCAATTCATTAATTAGTTCAGACATAATTCCTGAGAAGTCGTCTATCACTGTGGAGCTGTAGGTATGGGTAAATACGAGCTATGAGTCTGTGAAATAGTAAACGAATTTGGTAAAATTGATCGTCTGTGAAATCTGGTGAAATCAATGTGCGCCAACCAGTTTTCTCAGTAATTCAGCTAGCAATTCTCGTGCTGTTTTCAAAAAGACGTTTACAGTGAGGGGCAAACTTAAGAAAAACGAACTATAATATCGCAAAAAAAAAAATCAAAAATGGGCCTGGAATAGTGCCTTTTTCGCCTAAAAGTTTATCGGTTTTTAGATATGTATAACAACTGTAGTGGGCTCACCTGCAAACAGGCGTCGGGCAACAATCGCGAATGCGGCGCACTTGTGACAATAAGCAAAGGTCATTATAGTGTTACGACCATACGACGTACGGGAATGAGTTATCAGCTGTCTAATCGTAGACAACACAATGTCGAGCCTTAAACTGTAAGCCCGTATTGGTATTGTTTCTTTTATTTGGCTGTCGAACATTATTTATGGTTTGAAATATGATTTTATGTAAAATAATTGATATGAAAAAGCCGTCTTATAATTTATGACCCCATTTCACCACACCCAAGTGGCAGAAATGACAATGATCAGCTGACGCATTTTTCTTGGCCGAAGTCAGAGCGCGCAGCCCGACGCACCACCACCGCACCACAAAGTATGAGCAGAAGCCGCGCCCAAAGCCAGGGCCCCGGTAACGTGAGGTAGCCGAGTCGGGGCAGCGTGCGCTGACCCAAGCCGGGGCCGCAGCTTTGGGCGCGGTCTACCGCATCCCCGCGGGCAGCCCCGGGCTATCAAATGACACCGGGAGGACGCGCGGCTCCGGCTTGGGTCAGCGCACGCTGCCCTGACTCGGCTACCTCACGTTACCGGGGCCCTGGCTTTGGGCGTGGTCTACCGCACCACCTAACAGGCGTGTTCGAAACCGCAGGAGCTGATGATGAACGGGTTTATCGAAACTTGATTGGATGAGCATATCGGTAATAGCGATTTCAGTGTGTGCATTTATTGTTCATAGTGGTGTGAAATGTGGTTGGGGTGCGACCGACAACCCGTCGGGGCGAATTTCGCACTGGGGTACTCAAAATTTGAAGAATTTAAGACGTTTCCATGAGTTTTGAAGGTATGGATAAGTTCTAAAAATCCGGTTCTCCTTATCTGGGCCATTAACTCCATACGGTCCAAGAAAGCTGGCACACTACCTTTAATCTTTTGGCGTGGAGCATCGCGTGGTTCTATCTCGGTGTTTTGATTTCTTAGGAGTGGCTGTATCGCCATCGTCGTATCTTGGGTTTGTCAAAATCTGCCCGCATTTCTCCTGTTAGCTGGCTCCCCTTCTGAGCGAGGCGCTGCCACGACCTGCTTCTGCCTGGTAGGGTAGGGTGGTCCACCCATAATAGGGTTGGCTATATATAGCTCATGGAGCACCAGTTTTAGAGCGCAAGTTTCAGCAAAAGGACCATTTCATTGCGTCAAAAATGCATTGACCACGTCAGATATTTGCGCTTTCTCCAAAGGGTTTAAACAAGGTTGCATGCTAGACCAACCAATTCGGCACTCACTGCGGAATATAAAATCAAATAATGTGTTTAAACAGTAAAACCAGCAACACTGGACATCAGGGAACTGTCACGCGAAGGAAAACAAACAATTTATTTCAGTCAAGCAGCAATAACACGCTTGTTTGCTTGACTCGCAATTTTCAGGTTTGAGATCGCAAAAGAATTTGAGCTTATCTCTTGTTGAATGCTCGAAAACAAGAACATTTGTCTTCGGTAATATCAAGCAGCTCCAACAATTACGATTACACTACCACAACAACCGCGTTCTTGGTCGTCAAGAAGGCTGAGCAGCTATAGCGCTCTTCTGTCGCAGTATACATTCTTCACTTGTCTCTTGTAGACTTATCATTTAGAGCAAAATAAAATAGACACAGTGCTGGTGCTATAAAGCTGACGCATCATGTTTATTAGATACATGCTCTATTTTTTCACGACCCATGTCACGGAGGTGTTCAGTGTTCACACCTATCTGGTATGAGCTGACTGTGACAGACCTTATCCGTCTCATCTGCCCGCTGGTCGAGTCCTACCTTACTCAGCGGCGCCTGACCTGCCTGACCTGACCGCACTGAGTCTTGCCTTACGGCGGCGTCTTACCTTGCTGACCTGACCGAAAGAAATCTGAGCTGACCTGGCTATGTGTGACCTGTCTGACCTGACCGGTCGATCTCTCCCGACTCCAGAGCCGGACACGGAGATTCTGGGCGGTCCGGAGATATTTATTGACCAGCGGAGCACCATCAACCTCACCTGTGTAATCGAGCACAGTCCGCAGCCGCCAGACTTCATATTCTGGGAGCACAACTCCAAGGTGAGGTTTGAGGCTAGAACGGCCCGCCACCGCGGCCCGAGAGACTCACTGCCTGCGCATGTCAGCTATCAGGTCACGTCACGTGACCTGTAGCCGCCGGCCGTCTGCACTGATCATGGGCCAATCAGCGGCTGCTTAGGGCACGCGGGTCACGTGGTCGCCGGTCAAGGACAGCGGTCGCTGCCACCAGCTGTCAATAGCTGATCACTCTACCAAAGCAAAATCAGTGTCTTTTTTTCAATTTATCGATAGATTTGTTTTATATGGTGTATATTGTAGCTGACTTTGATTCACTTCTAATTTCGAATGGATAGTTTCTTTGTAACCGGACGTGATAAGAATTCATCACGAGTAGTTAGCCAGTTATTACGAGCGAGCGAGCGCAGCGAGCGAAGTGAGTCTTTTCAATATAACGGAAAAATCTCAGTATGAGCGGCCCGGCCCGGCCCGGCCCGGCCTGTAACGCTTTTGAGAGGCTTATATCTCAGCAACCGCTGGACCGATTGGCCTGCGGTCTTTTTTGTTGGGTAGCCCCATCCCTTCTACCCCGTAATTGACTACTTTTGATACATCTCAGTGACCGTCGTGGCACGTGCCACGTGAAAAGTCAAGGGTGTTCAAGCTGTTTTGCAAAAGTAGTGTTTTTGAGAGGCTCATATCTCAGCAGCCGCTTGGGCGATTGGCTTGCGGTAATTTTTGTAGGGTAGCAGCATCCCTTCTACCCAAAATAGGATACTCTCGATGCATGTGGGTCACCCCCAGTGCACGTGAAAAATACAACAATAAGAGGTGTCAAATTTGTTCCCATTTTAATAACTCGGTAATTACAGGGGCGATTTCGCTGAAACTTGGCATACAGGTAGGCACCCACCAGACACACTGAAAACAATTTAACCCAAGGCTGGCGAGTAAACCGGTGTTTTACGGGTACCCCTCTCCGCAACCATTTTTAACCACCCTCCCAGGAGTAGTGCTAGGTCCCATTGCGGTGTAGTCGTACTTGCTCTTAGCGGATATAACCGCTGTCAGCGAACAAGTCCGTGAGAGCAGGGACGACTACACTGCAATGGGACCTTACTGTACTCCTGGGAGGGTGGTTAAAAATGGTTGCGGATAGGGGTACCTGCAAAACACCGGTTTACTCGCGGGCCTTGGGTTAAATTGTTTTCAGTGCAATGCATTCCCATGTGTTGCGGTTAAGGTGCTACTGCACGTGCGCACGTGCAGGGGGCGCTTCCAGATCTCGAGAACGGCTGGGCCGATTGCGCTCAAATTTGGTACACGGTTGGGGACCAGTTAGTAGGGTGCCGTGCAAAAGTCAGTTTGGACCCCGTTTGCACGTGCGCACGTGCAGAATGCCGCTTCCAGGTCTCAGGAACGGCTGGGCCGATTGCGTTCAAATTTGGTACACCGCTAGCGACCGGTTAGAAGGGTGCTTTGCGCAAGCCCGTTGGAAGTACCCTCTCGCCTTTCCGCACGTGCAGGGCTCACTATCTCGGTCGCTCGTTCTTCGCCCAAAAGGCGTTTTACTGGTAGGTAATCATTCACTGCACCCGATAGGCACTGTGTGGCGTCCCCTCTGCAACATCTCCTCTCTGTAGATCCCGTGAGCTCCGCGCTATATCCTCGGGATTTCGGTCAGCTGTATTATGCATAGGGCTACAGCACAGGGCTACTTTTTATGGAAACGTGCTTTGAATGCACACCTGTTTATTTTCTGGTACGTTTACTAGAAACTTACTTTTACTTTTACTTTTACTTTTCGTAACGTCTGCACTCTGCATTGATAAAGCTATTAAGATAATTTTTTGCTAGACTTGCCATGGAAGTCACACCTTCTCGCTGGTAACTTTAGTCTCATTATTAACAATGTGCATTCATTACATGACGGAAATCATCCATGTTTCGCAGCACAATGTCTCCCCCTTTCTACCTCTTCCTCACTCACTCCCTACCTCCATTCCCACATCTCTGACCCCCGCCCCCTCTCCCCAGGTCATCAACTACGACTCAGACCGGGGCGGCATCAGTGTGGTGACCACAAAGGGCCGCACCACGGTCTCGCAGCTGCTGATCCGACACGCCCGACCACCCGACAGTGGCCGCTACACCTGTCGACCGGCCAGCTCACGGCCGGCGGCCGTCAGTGTGCACGTCCTCAAAGGTGGGTGTCCTCCTTAAAGGCTCTTCCCTACACATACTCGTATACCTATATACTGCCCCACACTGGGCTGGTCCGCCTCCACGCATCCCACATAGCTGAGCTGAGCGCGGAGAAACGCCGGCGAGAAAATAATGATCCTATTGAAAAATAATGGGAGCCTTCAGTTCGAGCGAGGATTTTTCGTGTTTATGATGTTCCCAAATTGGATCATGAGTTGTAGTAACAATGGGAGTGGATATCCCCGCTGAAGATTTTTCACTACCATGACAAGTCCAATTTGGACTGGAAACACAGAAAGGAGCGTACCCGTTAATCAGTAAATTGAGCTTGCCAGAAAATATTGCTTATGGGTTTCAACGACGAAGTTTCTTGATACAGCATCAAATCTGTTGCTATTGATTTGAAATGCGTCTTGAATAAAAGGGAAATAATTTTTTGGAATAAGTGGTATGTGACGCAAAAGTCATTAATCTGTCTCCTCGTTTAAAAACGTCGATGAACACCGATACCTATAAATTACGCTCAATATAACGGATATATTATAGCTAACGTTTCGTCGGAAGCACGGACCAGTTTTTCTCGCCCCTCATTCAGGACTCGACACAATAGCGCCCTTGAATCGAAGCTGGCGTGAGAGTTGGCGCGGCTGACGACTGAGCCGGGTGGGTCGAGTGGCGGCTCTCCTCCGCACCGATCCGTGTCAGTCGACTTCTGTCTCCGTGCGGTGGAGCGTGCTTTGACCCGCCGCGGTGCTCGGCCACCGCCCGGAGAGGTTCTGTCCAGACCACTATCCCAGGCCGGCAGTAAGCCGCGCAGAGCCGGCCCACGGAACAAAACCGCCGCCACGGGAGCCGACCTCGCTCCGGCCGGCCGCTCGCCGCCCAGATTGGCCACGCTCAATATTGTTCTTCCCCGACGCGAGGTAATCATTTGGGAGAGTGGAAGACGGGCGCCGGGCGCGGCGCGGCGCGGCGCGCCTGGCGCCCGACTCTCGGCGATTGGTTTGTCATGCCGGACTGGCGGAACGCGGCCCCATCCCGCAGATGGCCGGCGCATTGATGGAGGAGCACCGGCTCCGGCACGAATGGCAACAGCTCCACTGTGCCCTCTCTCCCCTTGCCCTCCCTCATCTCGCCCTCTCTCTCTCTCTCTCTCTCTCTCTCTCTCTCTCCTCGCCTTCTCTCTCTCTCCCTCTCTCTCGCTCTCTCTCTCTCGCTCTCTCTATCTCTTTATTTCTCTCTCTCACTCTCTCTCTATTTCTCTCTCTCCCCTCTCTCTCTCTCTCTCTCTCTCTCTCTCTCTCTCTCTCTCTCTCTCTCTCTCTATGACCTTTCTTTCTCTCTCTCTCTCTCTCTCTCTCTCTCTCTCTCTCTCTCTCTCTCTCTCTCTCTCTCTCTCTCTCTCTCTCTCTCTCTCTCTCTCTCTCTCTCTTCTCTTCTCTTCTATCTCTTTCTCTCTTCTCCCTTTCTCTCCCTCTCCCTCTCTCTCTCCCTCTTTATCTGATGATCTGATCAACACAACCTGCCCTCGTATTCGCCGACGCTTACCGGACGCCTTTATCTGTGCCGTCCCCCTTCCTATCTGTCAGATTATGCTGCCTATCAGTTGTTTCCTTTCACTGTTCATCAGATGTTGATCAATCACCGCGTGTCCACAGGAGGTCAGAGGCCAGAGGCGATGCACACAGGAGGCAGCAGCCACCTTCGGTCTACGTCACCGCTGCTGATGGTGTTGGTAGCGCTTCTGCTGCTGGTGCCTACCCTGCACGTGGCGCTGGAGCCGCCTCTGGCCGACCGGCGCTGGGTCAAGGTCAGGTAGTGACAGCAAGATGGCCGCCCGGCACCGCCAGATGGCGCATGAAGCTCGTCGGAACAGTGCGGGGAGTGTTCGGCACTTCAGCTCGCCAGAGCTGGGCTGTGGCCTAAGGGACTCTGGTCCATGGCCTGGAGACTGTGATGCTCTGTTTGTAATACTGTCACTGGAGAGTCAGAGCATCTTCCCATTCATCAGACTGTTCCTTTTCGGGAGAGTCGGAGATGCGAGACGGTCTCAGTGTCAGTCGGTGGACAGCCGGGGCTTGGGCAAATGCTTTCTGATCGTTGAATGCTTCAGGGCATGTTTGTTCGGACCAAATGAATGACAAACGATCTCAGCTCTTGCACGGGCCGTGAACGCTGTTCATCTCTGTAGCGCATTATTCGGGGTTGAGAACGCGCAATCAGCTCTGTGACGGCGAAGCGGCCCACAGGACTGGCAGCAGCTCTGGCCGCTGGGTCAAGACAGCCGTCTCCAGGATTGGTGACGCAGCGCTGCCGCTGGAGCGGTTCGCTTGCCGCAGTTCAGCTGAAGAAGATGTCTGATGTGAATGATTGGGTTTGTGGTGCTACATGTGAAGTAAATGTATGCTTTATGAAATGGACAGTAATGTGACGATGTGCTATATGCAAGAACGTGTGCGATGTGAGATATCGTTTGGCTTACTGTTGAAAGTGATGTGTCCAAATTATTTATGAAAGGACGGCTCGTATCGTATGGGATGACGGAGGGCTGCTGTCATGTGTTCGAGGCGGTGACTGTTGTGACGGGCAGTGCAAGAAAAGGACAGAGGATGGGGTGGTTGGGTGGATGAGGGAAAAGGGCGTCGGTACTTGGGCCCTCTGGATGGTCCCAAGGCGTTACCAGACGACTGCGTTTTGGATCTGTGCTTAATCTCTACGAGTTCTGTCGAGATGTTACGAAAAATTATCGGCCCGTTGTTGCTACTGAAAGTTAAGTGTGTGCATGTGGTCTGCGGGGAAAGGAAAATGTAAATGATTACCTAAAATGGTGGGGATCTACAACAATTGATACCGACGACAATGCTGATTGTAATGTGATGTAACTGCTGTTGGTGATGAAAATGTTCTTCAGAAATGCTCTCCAAGGTCTCAAACCTGCATTTTGCTAGTTTCGTTGTACGTCAGCCAGTATTTGGTGACTGAATAAAGTAGTTATGACCTACGGCAGTACCTCCCTGTTTTTCCGTATTGTGATCGCAGTGTCTGTGCTCTGGCCTTTCATGGCTCTGCCGTACCACAGAAGGCATCACCTCTGGGTACTGACGAGACCGGGGGGAGCTGGGAGCAAACCCGTTAAAGGTCACGGTAACTGCCAAAGCGAAGGCTAACGACCGCATCCAGTCAGCCCATAATGCTCCGGTCAAGCTGTTGATTGCTGCGGTTGTCTCAGAGGAAAAAGCCAGCCGTCGCTGAATTTCTCATGGGGCGCCTGTTAACCGGAGGGAACAACTTGCCACAAAGAACAGCCATGGTGAATTATCTACATTACCTGCAACAGCCGAAGGAAGATAAAAGGTCATGCCGACAGCGGATCCGGGCCGTTTATAGCACATACTAACCTCATGTGACATGTCAATATTATATGGCACTAGTCATAGTCCACTATATACCTATATAGATATGGTGGCAATATTATATGGTTACTTGTTCATCACTTGTTCACAGTCGGGTTTTAAAAATGCAAGTCTGCAACTCTTTTGTTCACGGCTGGCTAGTGGCTACCAGCTACCTATAGTTCAGCACTGCACTGGCAGCAGCCGCCGCTATTGGTAGACTGTGCCGCTTGACTATAGTAGTGTGATAGCGGCACAGCCTATCCACTTCCAGTATCCACGAACATGATGCGATCGAGCAGAGCAATGAAAAAAAAACATCGGTCTTAATTCACTAAGTAGCCATCTTATAAAAGTTGAATGAACGTGTTAAGCTTCTGACTGTTCTGAGGCACTGTCTGGTGTAGTTCGACCAAAACGAGGTTGATTGAATGCTGCTCAGAGAAATCCAGAGAACCAGGCAAATCGATGGTGACGACAGAGTAATGTGGCGGAGGCACGTTTCAAGTGCAGTGTGCACGCATGCACGTGAAAAGGTCTCCACTTTACGAACTAAAATAACTGGGATAGAAAAACATTCACTTATGCTGTTGTTCTAGAAAGATCAGAAATAACAGCGCAAGGTTTAGTTGCCGCTATTCGTCACTGAACCGCCACTTTCAGAGTGTTCATAGTGATGTCCATCGTTATAAAATCGGCTCAGCGTGGGATCCAATGCGGAAGTGACAGTGAAGGCTCCAACGCTGCAGGGTTATTGGCTTAAGCTACGCGAAACTAAAATCACGGACTGAAAGTCCAATGTTCGGCGGCTTTATGCTGACACAGGCAGCCCCGAGGAATATTGGATTTGGCCGGAAACATTAGCAAACGAACGAAATGCTTTCTTGAGTATTAGATGATCTCTTCAAATATGCCAACGCGTCATCCTTTAATCGTTTGATGGTCCATAGACACAGTCTGACCTCTGTGTATGCTGTTTTAGACAAGATTGGCTGTTCTGCTTTTAGGCGAATGAATGCATTAATCTGGATTCTAAGTTCAAGGCGCTCCACGTGTGCATCTTGATGTGTTGTGGACACTTGAATAGTATACAAGGCCAGTGTCACTGGAGTAGACATCATCAGGCATTCAGAATGTTCATCGTGTCCCTCTCTGTCCCGCCCGTTTGACCAGATCAGAGGTCGAACTTTGACATACACGTTTGGGGAGAAGCAGGTGGATTGGCATCTACTGGAACGACGGAGATCGAGTGGCAGTCCGGCTCCCAGTGGCGCTGGCTTGCCCCGGCCCGGCCGACCCACAGAACCCTTGGCCGACCTGAGTCCATTTCTGTATCGACCACGGGTCGTGGCGGACACGGCAGCTGTCGGGCCGACTGTCGACAGGCGTCCTTTGCTAGTGGCGATGGCACCTCAGTCACGCCTCCGGTCCCATCACGAAACCCGCCCCCTCTCCCCTCCCCGTCTGTCTGCCCCCAACGCCACCCCGCCACAGTCGGCTTGGGACAGACGGCACTGGCCCAGCCCGCCGGAGCACCAGGCACTTAACATGGAAAAGGCGTTTCCAATTTTGCTTCAGAATGTGTTCGTGGCAATAAGGAAGGCGCGCAGTTGGCAAAGTAGATAGGCCAAAGTTCTAGTCTTATTCACGGTTTGAAATTGACCATTTCTTCGCGTCATATTTTCAGGTGGTGAGCATTGTGTGCGACTCCTTAGCTTTCGTGCGAAAAGGCTTGAAAGAGGCACAGCCGTGGATGATAGAAGACATTTTTCTTACATTATCAGCAACATGAAGTTGTCGCTGCTAATTTGATAAATGGCCGGCGCGAGCAGTCTATTCATCGGAGACAACAATGCGGGTGTTGCCGTCTGCCGCCGCGCCAGGCGGAGCGACCCCACCCCAGTGACGCCAGTGGCCGGCTTCACGCTCCAAAAGTTCCCCTCCCACTGAGTCCCACAGACTGTCAGCACTTTTGATGGCTCAGGATCAAAAGTCCGGCAGCGCTCGCCAAAATCAGCTGGTTTCGCGCGGCTCGGAAGCGCGCCGCGTTTGTCGCAGAGCGTCGTGTCGGTGACGTTAATGGCGCGTTGACGGCAAGAGCGCTGCCAGCGCAGCAGCTGCTTTCCGGCAGCTGGCCGACCGAAACGGTGCCAAGTTGCGCTTAACGGCGGCCTAATGGCGCTGTTTACTGGTACCCTGACTGGGCTGATTTCTGCTGTACTAACCAGAACCAGGCTTCGGGCCGCTGGGGAACCCGAGCTGGAGCCGCCCGCAGACAAGCTTTATTTGATAATCCAAATGGCTAAAGGACAGTCGAAGACATCCAACATTGGCGAGGGAAGTGTGGGTATTTTTACTTGCGATCAGTCTCTACAAAACAACACACGATTGACTGCTGGTCCGATACGTCAATTGGCTCAGTCAACTTCATAGTTATTCGTCAAAGCGAGCGTTATAACGTTTGTAAGTTCTTCCTTTATCTCAGCCTGGCCACTGCTCGCATCGGGCAATCCCCATCCTCTCCTTGTAACCTTCTTCCAACGCCAGTCCCTCAGCCTAACTGTATACCCAGTCACAGTCCTTCAATTTCCTCTGGCACACGACGTCCCCGTCAGCCCCCTGCAGTCTACCAGCCAAACATTCTAACAAACTCCGTCCGCATCATTCAACATTAAAACTCGCTACTTAATGTGACATCGCTAACATCGACTGACAAAACACAGCCGTCTATTCAAGTTTGTTTTCAAATTTTCACAAACAACTCATCCTATATCAATGCGATGTGGCATCGAAGTTGTTAGAGCCTTCGACTCCTAACTGACGTAAGTGTATGCCTCCTTCACCGTTTCCAGGGGCTTTTCCATTCCCATGCGCTTATGAGACATGCATACATTGAGCAATTAATATTGAACCTGGCATTGAAGATAGAAGAAGATACTGAAGAACAATTGACTGGGCTCCTACCCTTAGCCTGATTGCTAAATCTCTTCTCACGTCATCTCGATCCATTTCTTCATCTCATCATTTCTTCGGACCTCCTGCATGTCACCTCAGATCCGCAATGGAGAGGAGGATGAGAGTCACTGGCACAGTAAAATGTGTTTACACATTTGTGAATATAACGTTTTTGATGTGCTGAAAGGAAGCGAAATGTGATAGCCGTCCTCCATTTGTTGTAAAAGTGCGTGATATTTGCACGGCACTCCCCGCGGACGCAGCATTATTCTTGCAGCCAGCGCCGTGTGTATACGGAAGTGTGGGACGGCTGACACTGGCACCGCCGCCGGCGGCCAGCAGCCAGCCGCGGCCAGAATACCGATGATCTATGAGATTGAGTGTGCCATCAATCAGATAGACAAACATCTACCCAATATGAGAGACCCGCAAAGCTGCCGGCTTTCACAGGAAATGATGCGCGCCCATCAAGGCGGATAGGCTTATTTGCCTGAGGCATGCTGGGAACTTTTTCCTTGCAAATGCGTTGATTGATAGAGGAGCGTTGTATGCGCATATTTCACGCCATAATCCGTGACTGCTGCACTGTGGCAGATGCACTAAAATTTCTCACATCAGTCTTCCCTCGCCCACATACTATTTTCCTCATGTATGGTCGGTCTTACTGAAACGCAACGTTACTTTTATTTTTGACCGATAATGCTGTTCTTTCTGCCACGCATACGATTTGTTTCGCTCAGGTTGGCAGTTCCTCTCGGGTGGGGGAGCGCAATTCGGAGCCACTGAGCAAGACACCGTTATCACCCCTCGCCCAGCTTCTGGACCCCGCCTTCCCCGCCTCATCCCGCCTTTCCCGCCCGCCTTCCCCGCTCCCACCCCGCCTTCCCTCGGCTGCCACTCTCGGAGTGCCAGCGCGGGCTAATGCTCGGAATGGTAATCGCCCTGATCGGGTTAATACAGCGCGGCGGGCTCGCCTTGCTGACTCGGCCGGCCCCGGCGGAGGGAGGCGCGTCCGGGCGCACAGCGGTGGCTCTTTGATGGATGGGGGACGGTTCAAATACCGCCGGCTGGGCGGCACCGAGTCGGCGCATTACCACGACAGTCGGTCCGCCCACTGCACTGAGGCTATTGTGCTCAGTGAGCCACCCTGTGACAGGAGCAGCTCTACCACTGCGCGCCTGACCCGGCCGGATCGCTCAGCCATTGCCTCCCACACAGACCCTCCCCATGGATTGATCCCAGTCGTTCCACTCCAGTCATTCCGGTAAATAGAGTCATTTCGTCCAGGGCCTATTGTATCATCAACGTATCAGCGCATTACGCACTAAACTTTTTCTGAGGCCTTTGTCCAGTAATATGAAGAAAGATATGCTTTCAAATTTCAGCCATAGACCACTAGTTAGGTATGGCTAACTATGGCTGGCTGCTGAAACATACATGGATGTTGGTCTATGTTTCAGTATATCTCCATGAGATGGTCATATGTTATTGTCGTTTTTCTAAACATAATTTGACGCTAAACACGCGAGTCAATGATTCCACATCCTAATAAGCGTTGTGTTGTCCGTTGCGTTGTGCGCTGCGTGTACGTATTTGTGCTTGTTTGTGCCTTTTGGGCTTAGCCAGATCGAATGAGACGCCTCAAAGACGATCGCTCGCTGAAGCGTCCCA